TTTTTGACCAAAAAGTATAACAAAATAGCGTCTTATTCAGGTGGTTGGAGAAAAAATAATTTTTTAAATGGTAATGTTATATTTCTTATATATATATATAAATGGTATGTCTATTCTATTCCTCAATCCCAGAATCTTCTTTCTCCGAGGAAGAGTCCTGGCTATCTGATTCCATCCCCGCTGGGATGTAACTACTGGGGGTCGGTCTTTTAGTCTTCTTTTTATTGTCCTGCATCGACCTGCGGCGCAAATGTGCTCTGCCATTGGGTGCCATCGACAGGCACAGTCTTGGGTTTCTTCTTTCGGAGGTAAGGGTATGTGTAGGGTTCTCAGGTTGATTTGTGGGTACAACCTTTTTAGGAATGCATCCTTTGGGTGTCCCGATACTGCAACTTCTTTCTCTTGGAATAATTTTGTTAACGTACTCCTTAGTACGTGGTACGGCGTGATTCCGTCCTGCCATTTACTTCCATGCAATCGATGGGTGATATATCGGTTGGTTAGCTGTTCTTGTTCGGATAAATTTTCCCACTCATAGGGTCGGCTCTTCACTGGTGGTTCATTTCCTGCGTCGATGACGTGTGTTACGTGGTTTGTATACCACATGGATGCTGCGTTTTCTGCGAAAATGTCGCTGAACTCGTCCCACGATCCTTGTAATTCTTTCTTCTCCTTCGGCGATAAATGTGACGAGATGCTATGGCTAACGACTTTTTTAGAAGTGGCTTTCTTCACGTATAACGCGCTGTCTTTTACCTTCGCTGGTGCAATCGTGAGATGTCCAATTGTTGTTCCGGCAAACACTTTATGGCGCACTAACACTTGTAAAGTCGCGTAAAATTTACCTCGGTAGGTATAAGGGTGCCGCAAAACCGTTATTGATTTCTTATTGAAAAGATTTGGTGCTGTTTCAATTTGAAAATCGCTTAATTCATTACTAATAAAGGAAAGTTAATTTTAATTGGGATATCTGTGGGTATATTTGCGTGTAGAATGTTACTTTATATTTATCATTTGCGTGCGAAGTTAATAAAATTCTATCTTCAAAAATATCGTTATGGTCGCTATCCTCATTTTTTGCAAAAGGAATTTGGATTTTCTTGGAATCTTTATTTAAAATAATTTTTGAATTGTTAAAATCTATTAAAGCTTTGGTTTGGCATAAAAATGCGTTTCCTAAAATTAATGTTACTGGTAATTTCTTTATGACTAAGGCGTTAATTTTACTTTCAAAATTTCCTAATTTAATAAAAAGCGTAGTTTTCCCTAATACTGGAATCTTGACATTTCCTGCTGCGTGTAAAGTTAATGGTTTCGATAAAGGTTTTATGGTATTCGCTAGATTTGACGTTACAACATTGTAGCAACTACCTGTATCGATTAAAATTTTTGTAAGCCTATTATTAATTCTACCATGTATATTTAGAAGATTATCATTGAGAACAAAAGTTGCATCGACCCTTCTTCATTTTGGCGATCGATGCTTCGCTGATCGTTTTTTGGATTGGGAGACTGTGATCTGCGGTCATAGGACCTACCTCCGCGGAAAGATCGATTTCCATATTGGGATAAGAATTATTGGATAACGTTACTGTCCTATTATTTCCTCTGCTGTTAAAGTTTCCACGGAAATTGTTATTTCCTCTATACTTATTTTGGCTACTCGAATTGTTTGGAGTTGGCGAATAAGTCGAAAATCGATTGCGGTTTGTACTTGTGTAGTGGTGCATGAAGATGCATAATGACTAGGTTTATTATATTGAAAGCAAATTGGTATAGCATCCCTTGTACGAGGGTGAATGTGTAGCCTCTTGATTGTCGATAAGAAAATCGTGCAAAGTTATTGGGTTATCTATCTATTTGCAAATTTTTAAAATTAGAACTAGCAGAATTTACTGCTTTTGTTGCTAGGGAATGTAAAGAAGAAGTGCGTTCCTTGATTTCGTTCTTTATACGATGTTCTTGTATATTAGACAACTTAAAAACTGCGGTGCGACAATTTTCTGGAGTAATTTCGTCAAATGTAGGACAAATGAGCATAAATTCAGATCTTAGGCCTGTTGTAGACCATCTGTAAAAAAGTCGACAATTTCTGCAATGGAGATTGAAGGGGTTACCTGATTTGCAAGTTCTAAAAGTTCATAGTAATAATTCAGAACTTTTAGTATCCAGGACGTTTAACAACACGAAGGCGGATACCCGAGCGGTAGGCACACAAGCCTCCCCCCGCGCAACCCGTTCGGTGGGGACCCAGACCGGCTCCGGGGGAGAGTCAGCCCCGATTACGCTACGAGGACGCGTGGAGGAGCGCCCAACCCTGCTGCGGGTGACCAGTGCCCGGGACCCTGAACTGGCGGTCCATTTGTGCTGGAGATGTGGGAGGTTCGGGCATTGGCGTAGGGTATGCCCGGTCCCACAAGCCACCATCTTCTGCTCCAGGTGCGGTGTAGTCGGGAGATTGTCGGCGCGGTGCCCCTGCCGTCCGAGGATGCCGGAGACCCGGGACGCGAAGGGGCATTTTGCCCTGGGAGGGCCACCACAGTAACAATGATACACTAGCAAAGAAGGAATAAACTGATCAGTATATCAACCGAATTTCAATGTTCCGTAATGTTTTCCCATCCCCGTGTTTTGTTTGTTTTAGGATACTGTGCCGAAAAAGAGTTCCGCTCTTTTCTTTCCGAAGAAAGGGGGGTGTGTAACGAAGCACCCGGAATTTCTGCGTTTGATTTGCCGTTTACAACCCCAATAGCACCAAATATTGAATAAATATGTATCCAATATTTATTCAATATTATATATACTTCCTAAAAACAATATTTATTAAATATTTGAAAAACAATGTAATATAATAATATATTCCTATAGATAGAGGCACCCCGAAAATAGACAATACGCTTTTTGTGTTTTACGATTTAGAAACCATGCAAGAGAAAAAATTAGCAGATAGTTCCCTTTTACATCAACCTAATCTGTGTGTGTATGTACAATGTTGTGATAAGTGTATAGACGAACAGAAACTTTATTTTTGTCAAAAGTGCGATTTTCCGCAAAAAATATTGACCTCTGATGTAATACCCACATTTATGGAACACATCCTAAATATGAGGAAGAAATTCAAAAACTTTATCGTTATCGCCCACAATGGTGGTGGTTTCGATCATCAGTTCATTTTAAACTACGTTGTAACACAAACAGACCTAAAACCAGACTTGATAATGAGAGGAACTAAATTGGTTTCTATGATGTTAGAGAATATTAAATTCCTTGACTCCTTAAACGTCTTAAACCCCCAACAGGTTACTACATAAAACTACGGGATAGCTCATACGTCTTGGTCCCTTAGAGTTAGGGGGTAGCTCAACCCGATAGGGGTAGCTATCGCTCCCGCGAAATAGCTCATACGGTCCCCCTACCGGTCCTACTATCACAGTGCCGGATTCAGGGTTTCTGCCGCTGTGCGCAAACATTTTTTGCCGCCCTTGACATATCACTATATCACAATTATTACAAGGTGGGAAACAAATTCCACGCATTTTAATCTAAGATTTTATTTATGTACGTCAGTACGTGTCAGATTCAAGTACATTAATGTTTTGATAACAAAAATATATGTGTAAAGTAGCAATGACCAGTAAACTGGGTAAGATAAGCTAAATGATAAGTACAAGATCCTATAACAAAAATTTCTCTCAAAATTTCTTCCTTTAACTTTACTAATATCGTACTTTGTACGCACTAACAGATTTCTTTTTTCTTTCCACCGTTCAATATGAACAGTACACTTAACAATCACGGAAAGGTTTGGTAATTTTGCTTCCTGTAAATTTTGTCCTCCCTAAATGAGCTCGAGGAGGGTGACTGACTTTAAAAATGATACTGTAGGGCTTCCTCGTGACTATCAGTACTCTGTCTTCATCACATACTCTGATTGATTAGATAGAAAGAAAAATATGGTTGGCTAACTAGCCTTATGTGTGCTCAATGGTTGTTGAGACTTAAAAAAAAAGTGATTGTTGTTAAGCATTCTCATTTACTTTAATTGTTTGTAATGTAGATTTTGGATTAGTGCGATTTTAGTAGCAAATTTTGCAAAAGGTTAGTATCGTACGTACGTCGATTTCCCCGTTGAGTTGTTTAAACCTCTTGGAGGATGTCTCGAAGCGTTTTCGTACGTTATCCCATCTGCTTTTCCGTTATAAAGATGTGCTCTGTTCCTCCTGTAGATCAAAGACATCCGCAGCTGGATGAAAGATGAGTTATCCTTGGCACCTCGGGCTCCTCAACGTGGCTGGATTCTTCAGGAATCACTGACAACCAACGTTTCAACTTTCGCGTGGTCTCTGTTTATTTCATTACTTAAGTTGGCGCTGTATTCATTTAACCGTGAGATCTTTTTTCGTACTTCAATCAAGTTGTTAGTAAGTTCTTTATGGTAATTATTAAATCTCTCGGAATTATTAGCGACTAACCTTAAGTTCTTCTGCAGTCCTAAGTCCATTCGTCTTAGGAATTCATGGATTTCTGAAGATGCTTTGAGGCTATCGACTTTTCTCTCGGTTGCGATGCCGCAACAGAAAGAAAAGAAGTCTCCTATGAAGTCTAGGGCTCTTTTTCTTCTTGTATCAGGAATTTCTTCTGAGGTTTCTATCTCCTTCCATAATTCGGGTCTAAGGGCGGTAGTCATTTCGACTGCTCCAGCGAATACTGTAGTAACTCAAAATTTTCGCCTTTTGAGTTACTTATGTGAACGGCTACTTCATACTTACCTTTTCCATGGAATAAAATACCCAAAAAATTACGATATAAGTCATTATTCATTTACATCATGAATATAAAATACAATCATGTTTTACGTTTTCCTTAGAAAAAAGAGGTAATGAACATACCACGGGCGAAGCAAGTTGTAGTGAACGTGCAGTTGGAGATCAATATGGTGATCAAATAGAAAATGTTATAATTGGTTCCACTTTGCCCAATCACAGGTTTGTAATAAAATAAAAGTGTTAGTATATTCACTCATATGCTTTTTTAGTGAATAGGGGCAGTGTTGAAATCATTTGCCAAGATAATGACCGGAACCAGGAGGAAGAATTTCACTCTGATGATGACAACTCAAGAGGTGAGAATATACCCACTAAGTTTTAACACCTACACCATTTTCTTTCAGAAAACACTAATATCTCGGAAGTTGTTAGTAAAAAGAATGGAGGGAAGCTAATTCTTGGAGATCATTCTAATGAGGCGCAGTCAAGTTCTGTAGGTAATATACCTTCAGAATGTGTTGAAATTTAATGCCATCGATGAACAAAGTACGCCTGAAGATCCATTTGCTACAAATTCTGATAGTGACCCCGATTATACACCTTCAGGCGAAGAACATATTGAGGAAGTATCTGGCGAAGATACTAATAACGCTAGTACATCCCTCGTCACCAAAAAGAAAAGGAAACAGGGAAGCATACAGAAAGTAGGTAGGAAACGTGCTAGGAACATGAACGAGTGGGCAAACGTAAAATCAAAAACCCTCCTTAATCTTGGACTTGAACATAACAACCGAAAGGGAATCACAGTAAAAGCGAGAAAATTAGGTGCACCATGTGGAGAGAAATGTAGGCTAAAATGTACTACTAAAATTAATGGGATTGATCGATCCCTAATTTTTGATGAATTTTGGCAACTAAAAGATCATACACGACAATGGGACTTTATCATGCGTCACGTAAGGCAATTAGATAAGAAACAAGTAACTGTTAAAGATGGACTACAGTCTCGAAGAACTTTTTCACGACAGTATCATTTTAATTTACGCAACGCAGAACTACGTGTATGCAAAAGTATGTTCTTAAAAACACTTGACATTTCAGAAACTTGGGTTGGCACTGCACTGGGAAAATTAAAGGAAATGGTACGCTAGAAGAAGACATGCGTGGTAAACATAAAACACGACCGCACAAACTTAAAGAAACAATTAGAGAAAGTGTCAGAACTCACATAAAATTATTTCCTTTAGTTCCTTCACATTACACGCGCAAAAATTCGGCAAAAATGTACCTTGAGGAAGGATTGAGTATTCAAAAGATGTATCGTTTGTATACCGAATATTGTTCCCAAAATAATATCATGGAACTTGCAACATCTCGGCAATATAGAGACATTCTTAATAATGAATTTAACATGGTTTGTTTAAACCAAAAAAGGATCAATGTGAAGTTTGCTCAGTTTTTAACATGTCAACAGAGCAAGAAAAGGAAAACCTTCGTGAAAAATACGAGCGTCATTTGAAAAATAAGACAGCTGCAAGAGATTTGAAAGATGCCGACAAAGATCTTGGAGTTAACAATAAAGGGATTTGTGTGGCGTGTTTTGATCTCCAAAAAGTTTTGGCTACTCCACAGTCAAACGTAAGCGATTTTTATTATAAAAGCAAGTACTCCATTTATAATTTCACTGTGTATGATATAGGAAATAATGAAGGATACTGTATGGCATGAGGTTATACCAAATGAAATTGCCAGTTGTATTTGGAAATTTTTAGAATTACAAGCCAAGAAAGTAGTAAAAGATATAATATTTTACTCAGACAACTGCGGAGGACAAAACAGAAATCGTTTTATATTCTCCATGTTTGCGTTTGCTGCTGTCAATTTTGAAATAAGCAACGCATAGGTATTTAGAAAAGGGACATACACAGAACGAGGGGGATAGTATGAGGCGCCGTTTGTTCCAAAATTAAACAGGTGCAGGGTAAGTTAAAATAGTAGAAAAAAACTTACACCGCTGCCAAATAAACTCTCCCCGACGTAGAAAAAAAAATTACACACCGCCGCCGCGGAATTACTTACCCCTGCAAAAAATTCACTCACCGCTGTAGCGCGGTGTCGAAACGCAGTTCATCTAGTCGCCGCCTATTGGCGCGCAAACCCGTAACGCAAATGCAGGACTCTGAATCAGTTAAGATATTTGCACGCACAAATACAGGTGTTGAGAACGTGTACGCATAGCCCACTTATTGCGCATTGCCTTTGTGAAAAAAGAAAAGGTAAGTGCATAAATAAAACATTTGATTTGTCGGTAAGGTAAGTGCGCGTTCTTAAGTAAAATCACAGATTTACAAGTTTATGGAAATCTGTGGTATCTACTTATTATATTATTACGGTAGGGGTAGGTTGGATCATGTTTACAAACACGTACCCCTTTGTCTTTATTATTTTATCCTACTTCATGGAATGTAGAATACCTTTCAAGTAGAGAATTATGGTTGTCATGCTTAGTATGTTTTCTATACTTAACTTCTATTCGAGTAGGTATTAATGTTACAGATAAAGTACACAATTTTGTTAATGGTCACACTGGCCTGTAAATGTGAATATTTAAGGTAAAAAAATTATAAATACAGCGTCCCCAATAGCAGGAGTAGTTAGGGGTGCATTTTTTTTTAAACTAAAGGAAGGGAAACTGCTTATGCCATGTATAGGGGGGGTGGGGAAACTGCACAAAAATGTTCCTTTCCTCACTTATTCACACTAACCGGTCAATGTACACATTAATCGAATTGTGTACTTTAACCGTATAACATTAATATTACATAGTAGCCTAGAGGGTGTCTATTTAATGGGATCAGAGGATTAATGAAAACGGTAAAAGATAGAACCAGGAAATAAAAGATATGTAGATACATTAACGCATGCATATCCGCATATGCTTTAAAATATTTTCGTATATACAGAGTGTTCACATTGTGATATACAATTCTTTTTTTAATGAAATAGTACAACTTTTAAAACGCCAATCGATTCATTTTTGGAAAACAAAACTTTGCTAGTGACATTTTGTCGTATTGTATTCATCCGAAAAAAGACAGATTCCAGATTATCTACATTTTTTATTAAATGTTTGTTGCAAATATTTTCCCAAGGCATGTACTTCATTATCGTTTCATTAGTGACAATTTCCAGATTTATAATGGCCGAAAGAGTAGAAGAGATTGTGTCGCAAATTCTCAACAGTTCAACTCTTCGCAATACATTGGAAACTGCGGTTCGACAAGCAACGCAGGGCTCTTCTGCGAGCCCAGATAGTAACCCGATTACGTCAGCAGTGCCACCACCATTGGCACGTAATGTTGCCACAACAACTAGAGAAGAATTGAGACGTCTGTTCCCAACAATCAGATCTACCTCTGCAGCTGATCAATCAAATAGGATGATTGCCTCAAGGACTAACAATACAAGGAAAAGAAAACGTGCACATTCTCCCGTGCATTCAAATTTCTGCAGGGATGTTCTATTATTGAAATCACCACGCACAATCTTGACGCTTAAAGGAAGAGAAAAAACCAAAGCATTTGAACAAGGTAACAGCAATGATTATTTGTATAAAGACTATTTCCCTCGTCTTAATTTCAACCAATCACAAACGCGCAATTTTGAATTACAAATGGTAGTTTTTTCGAGTTTACTCGCGCAAAACTTGGCAGCTGTCAGTATTTGTCACCAGAAATTATAATAAATACCTTTGATCTGTTACTCATGTCAAATACCATTCGGGCATCTAATTTTTTCCGCGAAACAAATAAAAAAAACACAATGCAAAGTAATATTTTTTAACAAAAATCATTCGTGCAGGTGCAAAAATCCTCACCTTCGACTCGGATTTTTGTTGCCACCTGCACTCATACTATTTGTTAAAATATTAGTTAGCAACGTGCTTTTTCGATTTTTTTCGGAAAAATTAGATACCCTTATGATATTACTTACGACTATATATTGAATTACATGTTAAATTTTTCAGGCTTTGCATTTTCGAAAGTAAAGTTTAACTCTGGGTGGAATCGCGAAGAAGTCAACACTGCATTTCGAGACTTGTTCCAATCACTTTTAGCTGATGTTGAATTTGAATTGCTAATTCCTATGAGTGGACGCTTAGTGAAGCCAAACCTTCCACCAGGTGGAGAGCTGAATGGGGATACAATTCGATCAATATTCAATCACAAAATGATTTATATTAGACCAACTGTTCAGCTAACGACTATTGATGTGACTGATTATCTAGCGTGTCCCGACGTTCTCAGTGATAGTTCCCATGAAGATGTGGATATAGCAAATCCCGAGGCAAATCCAGCCTCATCTGAAAGTCCAAATGAAATCCAAGATGAACACCCTGCATTGGTAAACTCTTATTAAGATGTTGAATTATTTCACTGCACTGATAATGATTTCTTAATAGTCACTTGAACAAAGCGAAACGACTTCTGGGACAAACGAGGGACATTCCGAATCCGAGATGACCCTGAAGAGTCTATTACAGAACCTGAATGAGCAGATTACTGAAGAAGGTTAATATTTAAAAGTTTATACATTCCCAAGATTAAGTTCACTCGACCATTTGTTTTCTCAACCTAAAAAACCTTTCCTTATAAAATTGTTGCAAAATGTTGAATGTGACGATGTTTTATTTAAAAATGAAAGCCTTTTAAATAATTTCAAAAATTCTTTGGTATTTTTTTAATATATCAAAATTTTGACTAATGACTATGCACTAATAATATCTTTAAGGATCGGCTATGCCTACCAAACATTTTTTTTAAATTCATTTAAAATTAAACTAACGTGAAAAAAGTGGGTTGTAGGAAGTGAACCTCATCTTCGTCAATACCACTTATACCCTACTGCATACATTTAGTGCTTCCAAACATATGACACATCATTATATCTGTTTCTAGGAGTGACAATGTTCAATATATACCGTGAAGGTATCTTCGATTGCTGCCTGAGAGCTCTAAAGCGTTCATCTTTCTCGCCCTTTCATAAAATATCAGTGAACTTCAGTGATATTGAAGGAACAGGTGAAGGAGCCGTAGATGCTGGAGGTCCTAGTCGAGAAATGTTCCGACTAGTTCTGAACCATATTAAAGAGAGCTCCATGTTCTGTGGATCTGATAAAAAGTATATCCGACTAGACATGAGAGCAATGAATGAGAGGCATTATTACGCAGCCGGACAAATGATTGCCCTTTCTTTAATCCATGGAGGAGACGGGCCTCATTTTTTTTCACAGAGTTTTTATTCAGTTCTTCGCCAGGATATTGCGGAGGGCTTTCCAACTATCAATGATATTGATGACCATCATATTCGGGATGAATTAAATAAATTGTCAAATGCTACCGATGCATCTGTCATTCAGGATATTTTTCACCATAGCAGGGTATGAAGTTATAACAGACATGAAAACTAAAGATCAATTGTTGGATGGTAAGTTTTCAGTTTTGGGTAATTGTTCGGCTCACCAGAGTTTGGATATGTCCTCTAGCACTAGCCTATACATGACAGTGTGATTGAAATATTTACCAGTAGGTAATTAACAATGAGGAAAGTTGAATTTATATGCATATTTAGTGTTGATCAATTTCTCACAACTTCTTTTTATGATCGAGCGGCTTGTGATATCCCTACATATCGTAATTAAAAAAAATTGTGCTGAGTCGAATAATTTGTCTCCCATTCATGAGATGCTTCATTCTCATTCTTTTGGTTTCAGATGTAACAAAATTCTACGCCTTCCATCGAATAAGACCGGCCTTGGAGCAGTTCCGAGAAGGTTTGAACACAGGAATGATATACGAGCTACTGAAGAGTCACCCAAACCTCTTCCAGAATACTATGTGCCAGACTGAAGATATAACAAGTAATACACTGGAAAAATTGTTTTCTATTATGTATAGCGAACAAGGCAGTTCTAAGCGGTCCATTGAGAACCGTATAATAAGCTTCTGGAGAGATTTCTTGCTTGACTGTGAAGGTATGTATAGGCATTCACGCAACTGATCTGTCTTTTGAAATTTGGTTCTTTTTCAGACAATGTAACAGAGGTAACACTAAAAGACGTCATTATTTTCATTACGGCAGCTGAAACTGTTCCACCTCTGGGCTTCAGCATTGCACCAAAAATTACATTTTTACACGATGATGCCACGCTCTATCCAAAAGCCAACACATGTGCTTTAGAAATATCGCTGCCTACCTGTCACTCATCCTATGATAAATTCAAACAACATATGGCATTTGGAATAGGCAACTGCAAGGATTTTGCATTTGCGTAATTTGACTGGCAATGTTGCCGAGAATGTGCAATTAAGTTTTAGTTCTGATTTTTCGAAAATAAAATTTATTTAGTTTTCCTTTTATTGAGAATTCCTTTTCAATTAACCCTTTTCTATTATATTAAAATCACTCAACCTAAAAGCTGCTGCCTCTTCAAAAACCACAAAGCACTACGACTATGTATGAACAATTCTCAAGATTCTGAACAATATGTGGATCAATAACATTGGATTATAAAATTTCAAAATAAATTGATAATACTAATCACTGGAGGATGGAGGTACAAAATTAAAAGGGGGAAGGATATCTGCTATATCAGTTATGTAACTTATCTTTTATAAAGATCTCCAAAACTTACAAATGTTGTATACGCAATCTTGAAGTTTATCAAAAAAGAGTAATTCAATGAACAGAAAGCATTAGTTATCTTTCCTCACGTTAGTATAGAATGTCAAAGTATCGTAGTTAACCGTAGGTACTGTCTAGTAAAACTCATCCTTTCCTCTATGAATGCATTACATTAAATTTAAATTACACTAAATCTGAATACTGTGCTTCAAGATAAAAAATTTTATCTGTAGTAATGTGAGCTGCGTTTCTGTTTGTTCGTTTGACCTTTCGACTTCTGAAAAGTGTCGACCACCTTCTTTATGGAAAATTCGACTTGAAAACTAAAGTGAATAAAAATACAGGATACTGTACATTACAGTCTATAAATTCAGTAAAACGTTTCAATCTTACAGTATAGTTTATTGTTTCAATAATTAACATAAATTATAGCTGTAACAAGGTATGTAATAGATTTCTAATAACTCCGTAATGAATGATGCCTTGAGCATAATCATCTGCAACCGGATCTGGAACTGCGTCCACTATTTGCTGCATTTGTTCTGGTGTAATATTTATATTTGATGTAGGAATTACAACATTATTCTCTGTAATAATTTCAAAATGAGATTCTGTCTCTTCAGTGCCATAACCGTGAATGTCATCTGGAAGTACATCATCATGGCCACTCCCATTCATGAAAGATAAATGCCAAAGCTGCAATGGAGATTTGCCATGCATAGTGCTTAGACCGTGATTATTCCATTGATCAACAAATTCCTTCAACGAGTTTCTAATTCTCGGTAAAAAAAACATATTGTAAAGAGAATAGGTCGATTTCACTATATTCGTCTAATAAATTATGTTCTTCCATATTTAAAAATAAAGTTTTATAATGGTAAGACACCACGCGATTCACTTCTGCCCACAATCTCTCTATTCGTTGATTGTGTACTGACTTACCGGTGATGTAGCTACCCCGGTTTAAACCATTTTGATTCAGTATGAAAGTTGCGACAGCTATATTTTCAGTCCCATGATCACCTCTTACACGATTTGGTAAACCAAAGGTAGAAACTCCTTTCTCAAATAACTGCATGACTGTATCCGCCTTATTATCAGTCATACACTCTAGGTAGATAATTGCCCTACTATATCCATCTATGCAACCATGATATACGAATCGAAACTGTATCAGTTTGTGGTTGGAGTCCATATGCCTGTAACAATTAATTTTCATCATTTTTGTGTATGTTCGCATATCTATAACTAGCAATGTCGAAAGAATAGTTTGCCCATTTTTGGAAGCAAAGAGATAAGTTGCATTATACGGATACATCCAATTGGACAGAGTTATGCAGAAATGAACCAATCCACATCACTGTGAAAATGAGAAAACAAGTCGTTTAGCAAATGCTATCAATTCTAAGCATCAAAATCAAAATTTTACTTGCACTCCATGCCCTAGAAGAATACATATTCTTGTTGCAGGGCATTTTGATATTTCAAAGAATTTATTGGAAAAAAAATTTTGTGGGTTGGTCCCTATCTGCATAACTCTGGCGAATTGTAATTGCCGTTGCGACAATAGAAAGTTCAAATGTTCTTCTTAAAGATAACCAGATAGATAATTACTCACCACAAATGATTAGCACCTTTTACATTTATATACTCTTCTCTTGATGGTGATTTTCTTTCGTAGAGCTCGTCCTACAGGGTCAATTTCTTGCAAAATTTCACGAACTCTCGATCGCGGTGCAGTTATTTTTCTAGCTCGGAGACTACCAAGAACATATATCTCACCTGCATTTGGTGTTTCATCCAATATCTTTTGGATAGTTGAGTATAGCTGGATTACTGCATATTTCATATTTGGTTTTTAAGCGATATAACGTACTCCTTGATATATTTAAAAATCGACTCATAGCAGACCAATTCAATCCAATAGATTGTAATATAAGTAGTTGTTCTTTCGGAATATCGTGGCATGGTCTGCCCACTCGGCCAGTGTTGGAGCTTGTAGCTTGTCCTCCAACTGGAAGAGAAGCGGACGTCGGTTCTAAATAACAATCTGGAATTCGGTACTTGATTTTAAATTTTTCTCAAGTGGATAATGAAATGTGCATTACCCCGGCTGCAGCGTGCTTGCAGTGACAAAAACAAGCTCAAATTAAGATTGTATAAAGTGGTCAATAGATTTTGAAGATTTTCATCTTGAATGTAAAGTATGATGCTACGAAGAGTATTGCAATTATCTTCGAGTTTGTGTGGCTATGTTTCATTATATTTCTACTGAACGGTACAGATCCAGTACTAACGAATTAATGAGAAAAAAGACATCATATCAAACTCAATTTTTAATAGAAATTCGAATAAGGAATCAACGAGGGAGGACCGACCGCCAAACAAAAAACAACTGCCCTTGGGCGTGAACTTACTCCCATTATATGGACACCCACTATAATAGAAGTTACAGGAATCATGCTAATCATGGCTGACAACCATAATTCTCTACCTGAAAGATATTCTAATTCTACATATTGTAGTGCCATGAAAAAGGATAAAATAATAAAGGTAAAGGGGTACGTGCTTAATAAACCTCGTAAAGAGGATCTAAAAAAGCGGCAAAGCTATACGTATATAGATTAATAATAACGTAGTTATATAATTAATTAAATGATTGATTAATCGAATATTTAATTTTTGTGCCATATCTAGCAAGTACAGGATTACCTTGATATTTTAAATAATAATGTAAACGTCTTCCCACGCCGCCTGCAACCCCCTTATATTCGGCATTTCTTTGTCGGTAGTACTGCATTAGCTAGAGACATTGTAATGTCATGTCTCATGTCAAAAAGCATACCTAATACCATTGAACTTATAAATTCAATGCTAATCCCTGCAATAAATAACAAAAGGGGTGAGTTGTTCGCTATGCAAAATTTCAGGAAAGGCTGACAAATGCAGCCCTGACTGCTTGTAAGAAACGTTCTTCTATAAATAGATTAAAATACGCGCGCGTTTGTGTTATCGTGTTCACAGATAGGCAGACAGACACCATCGATCTGGCTCATTTTCAATAGGCTTGTTACAAGTGATATATAGATGAGCTTTGTGAAGTTTGAAGCGAATCGGCCCAAGCGTTTGGCAATCTGTGATTTTACTTACTAACGTGCACTTACCTTACAGACAAATCAAATGTTTTATTTATGCACTTACCTTTTCTTTTTTCACAAAGGCAATGCTCAATAAGTGGGCTATGCGTACACGTTCTCAACACCTGTATTTGTGCGTGCAAATATCTTAACTGATTCAGAGTCCTGCATTTGCGTTAGGCCGGTCGCACACCAAGGATGCATCAAACATGCAGCATGCAACATACAACACGATGTAAATACCGCGCATAGACTTGCGCAGCTTGAAACCATTTAAAACACGTGCATGTCGTTAAAACTATCTCAGACCAGTGCAGCGGATGCACATGTCTCACGACATAAACTGCATGCGGTATCCTATGCGTGTCTTTTTGCAGTTATTGTTGCGCGTTGGAACGAGTAAGTCTGTGTGAATATATAGTGTTCGAACAAGAAATTCTGTGTGAGAAAATTAATAAAAACATTATTCAATAAAAATGACTAATAATAATGAAGATCCTCTGTTTACTATAAATTTTATTAAGGCGGTAGAGAATCGCCCATGCATATATAACTATGGTTTATCCGAGTATAGTAAAAGAAATAAAACAGAAAAGGCATGGAAAGAGGTGGCGGAAGAAATAAAAGATACAGGTAAGAAAAATATGTTTATTATGCGTATTTCCATTGAATTGGTATTGATCCTTCGGCCGTCAAAAAGTAGCTAGCTAGGGCTTTACGAAGTCTCATGGGTAATGTTGTTTCGCGATAACCATCTTGATCTTGATTTATTTGTGGTTGATTTATGTCATCGTTAAAATGCGTTGGAGTACATAGTTTTCCTTCTCGTATTCTAATGAAATTGTGCAAAACACAAGCAGCTTTTACAATACTTTTGACGCTTTCTTCGTCACAACAAATTGGACCTTCGAATATACGAAACTTTGACACGAGTATTCCAAAAGCACATTCTACACTTTTTCTTCCTCGTGAGAGCCTATAGTTAAAAATTCTTCTAGTAGGGTTCAAAATTCTTTGGGGATAAGGTCTCATCAGATATGTCAACAATGGAAAAGCCTCATCACCACATAAATAAAAAGGAAAAGGTTCAGCATCTTCATTTCCTGGCAAAGGTGAAGGATCGGGAATTTCTAATTTCTGATTTCTTAACAATCTTCCAATGTGGGAGGTTCTAAAAACTGCCCCATCACTATTACGTCCTAAGTCACCAACATCTATGGTTGTGAATAAACTGTCAGCATCAGCAGCAGCCATTAGTACCATTGAAAAGAAACCTTTGTAATTAAAATTGCTCGAACCACTATTAGCAAACTTCTTAACACGAATGTGTTTGCCGTCGATTGCAGCAACGCAGTTGGGCAAATTCCATAAATCTTGATAACGGCGAGCATTTCGTTTCCAGATGTGTTTAGTAGGAGTTGGCATAAACAAAGGCTGCAAACTGTCCCATATGGCGGTCGTTGTCTCTTTCACTATTTTTCCAACGGTGTTGTCTCCTCGGTAAAATTGGAATGAAAGGTTTTTGAAACTATCACCTGTAGCCAGATACCTCAAAAAAAAATACAAATTTCAACCAACCGCCTCTACTTTTATTTATGTATGTTTTATCTTTTTAGTGCCTAATTGTCGCGAACGCTGGAGGAATATAAGAGGATCCTTTTTAAGATCGTTAAAAAAACCACGCTCCGGC